AGGCAAACCGCTGAAGCTGCTCCTCCGGAAACTCTGCAGGCCGGCCAGCACCCGCCGCCGCTGCGCTCAAGAACCTCTCCGGGCCCCTCTGCCGCTGCAACATCGGGGGAGGCCCGCCCGGCGCCGGCCCGATGAGCCCGCTGCCCAACCGCTCTGCAGCCGCAGGCCCCCATCGCGCTGCCGCGCCGCCGAGGCCGCTTCCGAGAAATCCATGGCGCGCAGCTCTCAAGCTCAAGCGAGCTGCTCCTCCTCACAGACTAGACCCCCGACGTCATGGTGTTTCATGCCGTCGACTCCGAGAGGTCTCGACCCATTCCCCGGGACCGGCGTTTCAGCCTGAGTCGTTTTTTGACGGTCCCGAGGCCCGGCGAGGGCCCCCAGAGGCCAAAAAATTAGCCTGGCGAAGGACCCAACCATATGCAGTTGAGAGTACCGCAATTGTGAATATCTTCTTCGGTGGCGCTCCCTATGGGGCCACGAGCCGTATGAGGGGTGTGCCGAAATGCGTGGCAGTGTACACAACACGAAGGAAGACGATTGGTCCGAATATGAAAGCTTGAGCGCGTGCGAGTCGGATCGCGAGCGAGTCTGATTATGAATGAATCTGCGCGCGATTGATTCTATTCGCATGAATGCGTGCATGGATACGCCCAGTGTAAATGTATGTATACGACTGTGAACAGTTTGGGTCTGCGTGACTCTCGGTACTCGTGACTCTGAGCGTCGCCTCTGCAGGGGGCTTCCCTGGGAACCCCGACGGCAGCGCCCGCGCGCCGCGACGCCCATGTCGGCACGCCACACACCTGGTGTGCGGGACGCATGCGGACGGCAGCACTGGGGCCTTCGGTGGAGCTCCCTGTGGGGCCACGAAACGGTGAGGGGTGTGCCGAAATGGGTGTGCGGGGACGCATGCGGACGGCAGCCATGGGGCCTTCGGTGGAGCTCCCTATGGGGCCACGAAACGTGTGAGGGGTGTGCCGAAATGGGTGTGCGGGACGCATGCGGACGGCAGCACTGGGGCCTTCGGTGGAGCTCCCTGTGGGGCCACGAAACGTGTGAGGGGTGTGCCGAAATGGGTGTGCGGGACGCATGCGGACGGCAGCCATGGGGCCTTCGGTGGAGCTCCCTCTGGGGCCACGAAAAGTGTGAGGGGTGTGCCGAAATGGGTGTGCGGGACGCATGCGGACGGCAGCACTGGGGCCTTCGGTGGAGCTCCCTGTGGGGCCACGAAACGTGTGAGGGGTGTGCCGAAATGGGTGTGCGGGACGCATGCGGACGGCAGCCATGGAGCCTTCGGTGGAGCTCCCTATGGGGCCACGAAACGTGTGAGGGGTGTGCCGAAATGGGTGTGCGGGACGCATGCGGACGGCAGCACTGGGGCCTTCGGTGGAGCTCCCTGTGGGGCCACGAAACGTGTGAGGGGTGTGCCGAAATGGGTGTGCGGGACGCATGCGGACGGCAGCCATGGGGCCTTCGGTGGAGCTCCCTATGGGGCCACGAAACGTGTGAGGGGTGTGCCGAAATGGGTGTGCGGGACGCATGCGGACGGCAGCACTGGGGCCTTCGGTGGAGCTCCCTGTGGGGCCACGAAACGTGTGAGGGGTGTGCCGAAATGGGTGTGCGGGACGCATGCGGACGGCAGCATGGGGCCTTCGGTGGAGCTCCCTATGGGGCATCCCTCGGTGAGGGGTGTGCCAAATCGGGACGCATGCGGACGGCAGCATGGGGATTCGGTGGAGCTCCCTGTGGGGCCACGAAACGTGTGAGGGGTGTGCCGAAATGGGTGTGCGGGACGCATGCGGACGGCAGCCATGGGGCCTTCGGTGGAGCTCCCTGTGGGGCCACGAAACGTGTGAGGGGTGTGCCGAAATGGGTGTGCGGGACGCATGCGGACGGCAGCACTGGGGCCTTCGGTGGAGCTCCCTGTGGGGCCACGAAACGTGTGAGGGGTGTGCCGAAATGGGTGTGCGGGACGCATGCGGACGGCAGCCATGGGGCCTTCGGTGGAGCTCCCTATGGGGCCACGAAACGTGTGAGGGGTGTGCCGAAATGGGTGTGCGGGACGCATGCGGACGGCAGCACTGGGGCCTTCGGTGGAGCTCCCTGTGGGGCCACGAAACGTGTGAGGGGTGTGCCCGAAATGGGTGTGCGGGACGCATGCGGACGGCAGCCATGGGGCCTTCGGTGGAGCTCCCTATGGGGCCACGAAACGTGTGAGGGGTGTGCCGAAATGGGTGTGCGGGACGCTGAGGGGTGTGCCGAGAGCAGAGGCAAGGAGGGGGAGGAGGGAGGAGGGCGAGGAGGGGGAGGAGGAGGAGAGGAGGTGGGACGCGGGGCGCTGTCTCTCCAAAACGAGGACCCAACACCACAGGATGGTTGGGAATTAGAAAAGTCTCCCGTCATGATTTTTCACTCCTCGAGGGGGTCTTCGTTAGAGGTCTCAGACTTCGCGACCTCTGGCCCCGGCAAGACCCCTCCTGAGAGGAGCTCCTCCACACGAACCGACCGACCCGGCTAGCGCCGGGGCGGAGGCGCTCGAGCGAGGACGCGCCACGCTGCCCGCGCAAATTCGGCCTCCGCCCTCTGCGCCGCAGTGGCACAGATCCTCCACGCGACGCTCATCAGCCGCCTCAGCATGCCTCTCGACTCTGTGGCGAACGTCCGAAGCCTGCCGAAGAAGTTGACTTGCCGCTCCAGCAGCAATCCCAGCTGCTGAACACACAGCACGAGGGAGTGCAGCTGCTCTGCCGGCTGCCCTGGGCGGCCCTTCTGCGAACGGGGCCGGCACCTTCGCCGCATCAGGAATCGGGCGGCAACTGGCCACTTCGCGCAGCTTCACGGGGGGGGCTGCGGCCGAGAGAAAGCGGGGAACCTGCACGGGGCTGAGCGTGAGACCACCGCCGCCGCCGCCAGGAAAGAGGAATTCACTTGCAGCTCATGCACTCGCTGCGTTTGCTCAGGATGTGGTCCCACGCCCAGCCTGAGCAGAAGATCCATTTTGTCCGAGGGCGTTGCTTCTGCGATGTCGGCCCCACCCAGCACGGCTGGGACCACGGACGTCCGATCAATCATTCAGCCCTCGTTCCTCATCTGGTAGGGCAAACTGAACACATTGCTCACGCTTCGGTGTCGTGTCCCCATCGGGCTGGGAGGGGGGCATACCAGCGTGAACGCTGAATGAGGAAGAAATGGCAAGAACTGCACAGGCGCCTCGCGCTTCCTAGGTTTTCGGCCAGGATGGTTATTTGAGAAAGAATGGCTTGAGTCTTGGGCCAAAATGGGCACTGGGGAGGGGGGGAGGAGAGGGAGGAAGCGGAGGAGGAGGATTGATTGGGCACTGCACTGAGATAGAAGGCTTGGACTAGGGAGGAGGAGGGAAGCGACAGTGACACCAACTCGCAGGCGAATGGCGCAAACAATCCCCGAAGGGGTGAGATGCCACCAACTGCGCAAGGGTCGCCTGTCGCTAACCCCCAAAACCCAGACGGATCGGAGGGGAACAGGAGGGGGAGGAAGAGGACGAGGAGGAGGATGGCCGGTGCAAACCAAAGACGACAACGATGATACCATAAACCCTTCTTGCAAGTTCCCTCCCCAAAGTCCTCCACAAAAATATTGTCATTGCGGGAAGTACCTCATTGAAAGACAATCGTCTGAGAATCCTCTACCGTGCCAGAACACCCTTCCTGGAACTTCACCACCTCGAATCAACGTGACAATTGCGTCCTAAGAGTTCTAAAACGATTCCAAGTCCTGGGACTTCAACACCGCGAAGCAACGTTGTTTTCGCGTCCTAACAGATCCTAAATCGTGAAATCGTGCCAGAGTACTGCTCTTGGGACTTCAGCCAAAACAATTCCTTGAAACTGCTGCATACTTGTGATACGAAAGCGCACAGCGCTAAGGCGAGAGCCCCATTTGGAAAAGGAGCCCACCTCCGTCTTTGAACAGTTGAAAGTAATTTGGGCGAATGTGCACGACGCTAAAGCGAGAGCCAAAGCTTCAAGAGGAACCGCCCTCCATCTTTGACCATGTAACAAACTATCGAGACGAATGTGCTACAGCGAGAGCCACATTTTGAACAGGACGCCCCATCCATCCTTAAAGCTGTTGTTAACGCTATTCAGCGAGTACCCGCGGCGCTACAGCGAGTGCCACATTTTGAAAACGGCCTGCCCTCCATGATTGAAACTGTCGCGAACTGTAAGACGAATTCATGGCGCTGGGGCGAGAATCGCATTTTGAAAGCGATCAGCCCTCCATCAGTGAAAAGATTGCACATGTCAAGAGCCAGGATCGTAAATGGTGAAAAGTCTCAGGCGAAACGCCTGCCGGGCCCAAATTGCTGACACGTCTGGTAGTGCGACAAGGAGGAGTTTTTCGTAAGGAAAGATAGTCGACGACAAGGAGGAGGAGGAGGAGGAGGAGAAGGAGGAGGAGGAGGATAAGGAGGGGGGGAAGGGGGAGGAGGGGGAGGGCGAAGGGAGAGGAGAAGGGGCGACAGCACTGTGGACTCCATCGCACGCTGCCATTAGCACACACGCATTAGACAGGCCATCAGAATCGCTGTGCCTGGCTCTGTGCGGGCGAAGGCCCCTGGGACTCCATCCCAAGTTGTGTGCCCGCCCGGGCGAGGGTCCCCGGAACTCCATCCCAGGTGATGCGCGACCCTCACAGCTTCGAGCGAACGATCTGGAACTCAATTCTAGCGGGTTGCCGCGAGGCTCACTTGAATGGAGCGGTGACTGGCAGAAGGCGTGATGGGCGGCGTCGAGACATGACGCCCTGGAAGATCTGGAAGTGTGGTTATATCAGCAGGCGGCCAGAGAGGCCACCTCTGAACGAGACTGGACTGACAGCGAGCGATGGCCCAAAAGTCCGACGGCGAGGGGAACCCCCACCTTTTGTGCTCGTCAGTCCAGCACGGGCCCGCCCGAATCGTACGAGGCAAGACGGTCCCGCTGGGCATCCTCGGACACGCCCGCGCCGTGCGAGGCCCCTTAGATGTCTTCGGGGTCGGCCGAGAGCGCCGCCCCGTCGTGCTCCAAGCCGCCGGCGCCCATGCTCTCGACAAAGGGCACGGGCGCGGGCGTCGAAGCGACGCGGAGCCTGGACTCGCTGCGGTCCATGTCGAAGCTGAGGCCCCACAGGCGCGAGACGGGTCGCACGGCCGCGTGGAAGAGAATGTAGAAGGCAAGCAGCCTCTCCGCGGCGGCGACGCGCGTCTCATAGATGCCCTCCATGTAGCCGAGCTCGGCGATCATTTCCTTGCCGCCCGCGCCCTCTTTCACGCGGGCCTTGGACCCGCGCTGCTCGCCGATCACGACAGCCCCTGTGTCCCCGCGGTCCACCATCGACGTTCTCCTGAAGACGCTGTCCCAGGTCCGGCCGTAACTCCTGTTCTTTGTCGAGCTGTAGGTCTTGCTCGGGCTGTGTTTTTTCGACGGGCTGTAAGTCTTCGTCGGGCTGTGCTTCCTCGAGCTGGCCCCGCTGAGCACGCGCGAGACAAGACTTCGGGAAGTGCTCATCGACTTCAACGAGGCCATGCTTTTCATGCTCCTCATGCCGCCCATCACCGACGAGGTCGGGGTGCCGGTCATGGCTCTCTGGGCCCTCGTGGCCTCCACGCTCTGCCTCCACAGGTCGAAGCACCGGTTGGCCGAGTAGGGCATCGAGAACGGCAACGCGTTGTAGTGCATCATCCACTGGCGCTTCCGCTGCCGGTACTCCTCCTGCGTCCGCCACGCTGCCTGCACCGGCAGAGTGAGGGACTGCGTCTTGTTCATCTCGGCAATGCAGGAGGCCAGCTTCTCCGCCTCCTTCTCGGCACGCTCCTGACCCCTCTCCGCCGCGAAGTGAGCCCACTCCTCGTAGCAGGCCTTCAGCAGGCTCCAGGCCTTTCCTGCAATGTCGCCCATGTTGTGCCTGGCCAGCGCAAGCCTCTTCTGCTGACCCAGCTGCATCTGCCCGATCATCGTCTCCATCTTGCGACCGCGGAGCACCACCATGATGTTCGAGGCGGTGAACTTGAAGACGCCGGTCCTCTTCTTAGAGTCTGTACGGCTCCTTTTACTGAGCATCTCCGTCTGGTCGGCGGAGTCCTGGCTCGGTGCACCCGTCGAGCTCCCGGTGCTTTGGACGCCCACCGAGGACTTCGAGTCCTCACGCGGTGGCAGCTCCACAGGGGGAAGCTGAGACGAAGAAGACTCCCGCCGGGCGAAAAGCTTCATCGGGGACATCTCCCGGGCAAGACTCAGCTTCTTCATCGCCTTGCCGCACATGTCAACCGCTGTTGCAGATGCTGTTTGCGCGCTGACGGTTTTGCTGACCTTTCGGGCTGACCGCATGCCTGTCAGATGCGCTGCAACGTCGTCGTCGAGAACCTGCTTGATGTCGAAGTCCTCAGGCTCGATCTCCAAGACCTCCGAGTGCTCTTTGACCAATTCGCTTATTATTACTTGGGCATCCCCGATCTCTACCGTTTGAGACAACATCTTTCGCTGAATGTCTTCAATCCGCACATCCTGGAAGGGAGCCTCGTTGCCTGTTCGCGTGCTGGCACTGGTCAAGTCCCCCTTGACGAGCATGGCAACCCCATGCATCACGTCTGCAGGAGCGTGTCCACCAAACTCACTGCGCAACAATTTCTGTGAATAGAATGCCGGTCTGTGCTCAGAGGACAGTGTCACAGACCTCTGGAAGAGGCCAGTCTTCATCCACGGGTTGTGCCCGACGGACACAATCTCGACACCTGCGGGGAAACCCAAAAACGCTGATACCGCGACTCTCCAGGCCTCTCCCGGGGCGCGTTCTAACCAGGATTTGGAAGCGAATCCAGCCAGGGCGACGAGGACCTCCCAAGAGGTCCAAAAAGATGAAAACGATTGAAGCGTACTCTGCATGGGGTAATTAGTTCTCAAAGGGGGGGGGTGCTCCTTCTCCTCCTTATTCTCCTCCTCCTCCTCCTGCTCCTCCTCCTCCCAGCCGTGTCGCGCTCAGGGGTGTTGCACGGGCATGCTTCGACACGGCACGCCCGCGCGAGCCAGTCTCGACCGGGCGCTCCATGGAAGCCAGCTGCCAGGCCTGCCGCCGCGTCAGTGGAGGCCTCGTGCCGCTCAGGAGCCGTGCGCCCTCTGTCTGGGCCGTCTCAAAGAGGAGGCAGGGGCCCGGAGGTGGGAAACGCGGATCGCGGACACGCGCAAGCAGCTGCGGGCGGACCTCAAAGAGGAGGCCGAGACGCTCAAGAGCAACATCATTTGGCGGCGCGCAGAGGGGGGCAGGGGGAGGCCGACATGCCCGAGAGCAGCATCATTGAGGAAGTGTTGCGGAAACTGGAGCCGATCGTGGTGGAGGCGGTTCAGCTGGCGGTGCACGAGGAGCTGGCGGGGCGACCGCCCGCCTCGGTGGAGGCGAGGGGCAAACCGGCCTCGCAGCCCTCCGAGCCCCCCGTGAGGCGCTCCAGGAGCCGCAGCCCACCGGGTAGCTCCCCATTACGGCCGAAGGGCAGGGCAGGATGCAGCGCGGCCGCCGTGCGAGCAGAGGGCGCCCACGCGCGCGCAGTTGGATGCGGTTGGTGCCAGCGGGCCCATCAGGCGGCGAGCTTTGGGGAGGCCACGCCGAAAAGGAGGTCGGTGGAGACGGCTCCCAAGGCGTCGGCGGTCGGCTTGCAACAGGGGTCGGCGGGCCGCAGCCGCACGGCGGTGTCGCGACATGTGACGGAGGATGCGGGGGAGAAGCGCCATACTCCTTGCACTCCGTCACGGTCTGATGGCGCGGCCAGGTCCGCCAGTTCGGGTACTGGGCCTCTGGCGGAACTCTAGGCGCCATGGGTGGTGGACACGACACGCAGGGCAAAGGGCATACCGCTGTCCACGGTCGCGCCACGCCCGTCCGAGAGTGCGGGAAGGCAGCGCCTACAGCCCAAAAAGAAGCTGAGCGGACTTACTTAGAAGAAGTGGAAGGCGCAGCGGGGAGGAGGGCCGTCTGGCTCCTTGATGTGTGTGTGTGTGTCTGTCTGGTGAAGGACCTCGCGCTGCTGGACGCCCAGGAGTGCGAGGACCCGTTCGAAGGCCGCTGGTGAAGACACGTGCGAGGACAGGTGGGCCATTGACACGGCACCCCGTGAGGAGGGCTTGGAGTTCGAGAGCTTCGATTGTGGAGGCCAGGGCCCGAGATCCGCCTGTATCCTTCCTGGCGAAGGTTTGGCCCGCGCCCTCGGCCTGTTGCGGGGCCGAAGGTTTCGTCGAAGAGAGCTTGGAGGCCGGGGTGTTCTTCGAGGCCTTCGCTCGGAGTACGGCTGCAACATCGAGTTCCCGACCTGGTGATCTCACGCGGCCGCTGGGCGGACGAGGGGATTTCCATCGACGAACTGGACTTCATGGAAACCCTAACCGCGCCGAGGCCGAGGTCACGTGCCGGGCGTGCTCAGGAAAGCAAGGGCCATCACTCACGCGGGGGTGGCGGCCCGTCTGCACGCGGGGCCCACGCGTCCGTGCCGAGCTGGGCGGAGGTCGCTGCCCGCCCCGGCGGGGGGCTGCGCTCGGCCGCGGCCGCTCCCAACGAGGGGACGTTGAAGGCGCCGTGGGCGGAGGGCGGGCTTGGAACCGCCGCCGCCCTTGCCCGTGCGCCGAGGACCCGTGCCAGGCGTGTTTAGAGGAGCAAAGGCCGCGAGTTTGGCGCTTCGCCTGAACGCGAGGCCCCTGCGTCCGTGCCGAGCTGGACGGAAGTCGGTTCCCGCAGCGGCGGGGGGCCGCTCTCGGCTGCGGACGCTCCCGTTCCAGGGCACGGAGGAGGCGCCGCGGGCGGAGGGCGGGGTTGAGAGCGTCGCCGCCCTTGCCTGTGCGCTGGCGGATCGCCTCCACACGGAAGCGCCGCTTGCTGACCTCGAGGAGAAAAAGGCGCGTTTATCTGGCGGCGTCCGCCCAATACGGCTTCGCGGAGGCGACGGCACACCATTGGCGAGGCGCGGTGCGAGGACCTGCACGCGCTGGTACGAAGCGGGCGCGGTTTCCAGGGGCTGAGGCGCTCTGGGATGCCCACTAGGACCGGCCTGGTGGGCCTCTCCCCCTGTCCTGTCTGGAGTTGCGAACCTCCTCCTCCTCCTCCTCCTCGTCCTCCTTCTCCTCCTCGTCCTCCTCCTCCTCCTCCTCCTCTTCCTCCTCCTCCTCCTCCTCTTCCTCCGCCTCCTCCTCTTCCTCTCCTCCTCCTCCTCCTCGTCCCTCCTCCTCCTCCTCCCCTCCTCCTCCTCCTCCTCCTCCTCCTCCTCCTCCTCCTCCTCTCCCCCCCCCCCCTCCTCCTCCTCCTCCTCCTCTTCCTCCTCCTCCCTCCCCTCCTTCCTCCTCCTCCTCCTCCTCCTCCTCCTCGAGAACGGGGGATTGTGGAGTCGCTGGGGTTCCACAGCGCGCGCGCGAGGGTTTCGCGCTGAGTTCGCGACTGTTTCTGTGCAAACTCTGCTCAGTGTCGTCCTCCTCCTCCTCCTCCGCCTCCTCCTCCTCCTCCTCCGCCTCCTCCCTCTCCCCCTCCTGCTACCTCTCTGCCTTTTTTTCTTCTCCTGGCGCCCCCCCCCAAGGAAAAAAAACATGTGTTTTGTTTTTCTTGGGGGGGGGCGCCAGGAGAAAAAAAAGGAATGCGACGTGGCCACATCTGCCCTCCCCCCTAGAAGGATTCCTATTGGACGCCCCCATAAGAAGGATTCACAGTGAAATCCTCGACAGAAGGGTTCCGATCGAAACCCTCCACTGAATGATTCCTACCGAAATCCTCCACATGTGGATTCCTACTGAAACCCTCCACTGAATGATTCCTACTGAAATCCTCGAATGGCAATGGCAATGGCAATGGCAATCGTAATGGTAATGGTAATGGTAATGGTAATGGTACAATGGTAATGGTACTGGTAATGGTTACGGTAATGATAGTGGTAACGGGGTAGCGAGGCAATGACAATGGCAATGGCAACGGTAATGGTAATGGCAATGGCAATGGCAATGGGAATGGCAATGACAATGGCAATGGCAATGGTAATGGCCATGGCAATGGTAATGGTAATGGTAAGGGTAGAGGTAAAGGTAGAGTTAAAGGTAATGGTAATGGTAATGGTAATGGTAATGGTAATGGTAATGGTAATGGTAATGGCAATGGCAGTGGCAGTGGTAATGGTAATGGTAATGGGAATGTAAGTGGGACTGGGAACGGGAACGGGAATGGAAATGATAGTGGTAGTGGTAATGGTAATGGCACTGGAAATGGTAATGGTAATGGTAATGACAATGGAAATTGTAATAGTATTGGGAATGGGAATGAGAATTCTAATGGTAATGGCAGCGGTAGTCTCATGGTAATGGTAATGCTAGTGGTAATGGGAATGGGAGTGGAAATGGTACTGGCAATGGTAATGGTAGTGACGAATGGCAATGGCAATTGTGATGGTAATGGTAATGACAGAGGTAATGGTAATGGTACTGGTAATGGTAACGGTAATGGTAAGGGGGTAGCGATTGGCAATGGCAATGACAATGGCAACGGTAATGGTAATGACAATGGCAATGGGATTGGCAATGGCAATGACAATGATAATGGCCATGGCAATGTCAACGGCAATGGTAAATGCAATGGTAATGGTAATGGGAATGGGAATGGGAACGGGAATGGGAATGTGAATGGGAGAAAGAACGGGAACGGGAATGGAAATGGCAGTGGTAGTGGTAACGGAAATGGGAATGATAAGGGTAAGGGTACAGGTAAAGGTAGAGGTAAAGGTAATGGTAATGGCAATGGAAATGATACTGATAATGGTAATGGTAATGGTAAAGGTAATGGTCATGAGAATAGGAATGGCAATGGTAATGGTAGTGGCTAGTGGCAATGGCAATGCGAATGGTAATGGTAATGACAGAGGTAATGGTAATGGTACTGGTAATGGTAACGGTAATGATACTGGTAACGAGGTGGCGACTGGCAATGGCAATGACAATCACAATGGCAACGGTAATGGTAATGGTAATGGCAATGGCAATGGCAATGGCAATGGTAATGGCCATGGCAATGGCAATGGTAATGGTAATGGCAATGGTAATGTGAATGGGAATGGGAACGGGAATGGGAATGTGAATGGGAATGGGAATGGGAACGGGCATGGAAATGGCAGTGGTAGTGGTAACGGAAATGGGAATGGTAAGGGTAAGGGTAAATGTAAAGGTAGAGGTAAAGGTAATGGTAATGGCAATTGTAATGGTAATGGTAATGGTAATGGTAATGGTATTGGGAATGGCAATGTGAATCGGAACGGTAATATTACTGGCAATGGTAATGGTAGTGGCGAAGGGCAATGGCAATGGCAATGGTAATGGTAATGGTAGTGGCGAATGGCAATGGTAATGGTAGTGGCGAATGGCAATGGCAATGGCAATGGTAATGGTAATGGCAATGACAGTGGTAATGATAATGGTACTGGGAATGGTAATGGTGACGATAACTGTAATGGTAATGGTTATGGCAATGGTAACCGGGTGGCGACTGGAAATGGCAATGGCAACGGCGATGGCAATGGTAATGGTAATGGGACTGGCAATGGCAATGGCAATGGGAATGGCAACGGCAATGGCAATGGCAATAGCAATGGCCATGGCAATGGTAATGGTCATGGTCATGGTCATGGTCATGGTCATGGTAATGGTAATGGTAATGGGAATGGGAATGGGAATCGTAATGGTACTTGTAACGGGAACGGGAATGGAAACGGTAGTGGTAGTG